ATTACTATCACGTCATTGAATTAATTATATTTGATAATCATCAAAATTAAATAATAATTATGAAAATCAGGGACCTTTATAAAAGTTATAAACTTTTTAGTGATGGTACATCTAAATATAATTTTTCATAAATGACATTTAGTTGTGAGAAATTATTGCATATGGTAGGCGCATTAAGTAATTCATGTTCTGTCGATTAAAAACATGTCATGTTATATATACTAGTTTGATTAAATAAAATTTTATGCATTATAATTTTTAATAATTTTATTTTTAAAATGAAGTGCTTTTTTAATTTTTTCCCTCGTGTAAGAATTTCTTTCCAAATATACTCAATTATTTCAAAATCATGTTTTAAAAAAAATCAGAACATAAATTGCGTCAAGTTAAATCACTCAAACCAAGATCACTTGAAAATTCACAATTTTTCAAGATGACTTTAAAAATTAATGATTATTCAGAATCACATTCGGTCAACTCTAATCTGAGGGGCACTTAGCTTTTTGTCATTAAAATACAATTAGCTTACACTAGAAAGCATCTATTTAAGCTTTTCATACAAAAAGCTAAGTGTATGCCAATAAAAGAAGCAGAAAGCTATGTTCTAATAGTAGCTTTAGCTCCGCACTGCGCTATTATAGTCACGGTTATTGTATGTGTAAAATTTATACTTTTTTTGATTTTATTTATAAATTATTTTTATCAATCTTATTAATATTAATATTATAAAATTATAAAATATAATTAAATAAAAAATAAATATATAATATAATATTATTTTTTATCTTTTTTTGTTATTTTTTAAGGATAATTTAAAAATTTTAATTTAAAATAGAATAATCTTATCGGTTAATGATTTATAAAGTAAACTAAATTATATTTTTTAAAAATAACTAATATATAGAGCCAGAAGAGTATAAAAAATTACGCTTCTAACTTAGTGAAAATATAATCTATGATATTCAAATTAGGTTATAATTGAAAATAATATATTAGTCAATTTTTTTAAGTGACATAAATTATTATCATTTGTAATTTTATATTGTATTTGTACCCGGTAAAGTTATCAGCTGCTTTACACTTTAAAAAGCTCAGTTCCAACACACGTGCAGGAAGATACGGGTGACCACCACACGGGATTCTTGTGGGCAAGCCCAAGCCCGCCATAATCAGATAAGATATACGGTAAAACTTATTCCCTCGAGGGGAATTATTTTAATGTGTGTCTTTATTTTTATTTATAAATAAAATTATAAATTTTAAAAAGTGTTTATCACATTTTTTAATTTTGTTCGTAAAGATAATGTTTATTTTCATTAAATAAAATTTTTATTAATTATAAGGATAATTTAATTCAATTTTTTTAATTTCAGATATATTTATTATACTCAATAAATTTTCTTAAATTTTATAAATTGATTTTTTTAAATATTTGAGAGCCAAGGGAGTATTCTGGTACTTCGTTTCTCACGAGCTCTTTCTTTTTTAGTTTTTTGTTTCTACAAGAATATTTTTGTTAGAGATAATTGTGCATGAGTAATTAACTTTGTTCCCCGTTAGAATTAGTACTTGGCAGGCCTCCTCAGTTCTTAAGCCACTGTTGATAGTCTGTTTGACCTTCCTTTTTGTCCACAGTAATTCATATTGGACGGCGCTGCTGGTGGAGTTATAACCTGTAGCGTAGTACACGCGGGACTTCTGGCAAATCCGACGCGTGGCACTTGTTCCAACTGTCAGTTGAGCCTTTTCGTACAGCCCGCAGCACAGAATCTTTCCACGTCATCCAACCCCACTGGTCTTTGTAACTTCGTGTCTCACTAAAAACCAGAGATAAAGTGCAAACAACGAAATCATTTAAACGATATAAAAAGAAAAGGAAAAAGATCAAGCACTCAGGGTGGGGTCCAGCCCGGCAACTTCGTCACAGCTTCTTTCACCCACTCCCCTTGGAGGATACTTCCGTAATTTCGCGACCTATAGTCCGGGAATGGTTCATTGAAACGACGGCGTTTCCCTCCACGCCGACGGGCCCACCACTTATCATCACGTCAGGCTAGTTTACCTTCCGACACCGTTGGATTGTTGTCCCGTCATCCGCCACCCATCTACACCGTCTATCTTGTCTGCAAATTCACGCCGCTCAGATAGAGTTGACGGATGGCCCGACCCTTACTTTTAAGGACTCAGATCATCGAGCTCGATTTTTTAAAATTTTTTCAAATTTTGAGACCTCACATTTATGTAAAAAGCTTAAGGTCCACTCGCAAACCTGATTATAGAAAAAAAAAAAAATAATTATTTAATTAATATGGTTTAAAATTAAATATAAAATAAATTAAGTAATTTTTCTATTTGGCCAACAAAAAAAATTAATTTGGTTAAACTTTGTGAGAATCAAAACACTTACCTAAAACAGTCAAAGATTAAAATATTAGTTAGCTATCACCCACGATAAGACAACAACTGTGACTGAAAAGCAAATCATGATAGGTGTGAGGGAGAGCAGATGTGAAACGTGACGTGAAGGGCAGATAGGGCAAGTAGATGAGGGAAGGAGAGTAAAGTGACTTTGAGTGAGGTAGAGATCAGAGACGAGATAGAGATAACCGACGGCTAATGGGTGAGTAGAGATGCCGATTAAGGCAAAAATAAGTGACGACAGACAAGATGACAAATGAGTGACTATAAAATAGTAATAGGCAAATAAGCTACGGGCCAACTCATGGGTTTAGTCCGGGCGGGTTGCCATTTTTACAAGTTAGATTAGGTCAATGTATTAGATAAAATGGGTTGAGAAATACAACCCAACTCATTGTCTAACAAGCTGGCTAGCCCAAGGGTTGGCCCACAAAAAAGGTATCATACTTTTTTGAAAACAATTTAAAATTTATATAATATAAATATATACATTTAGTCTACATTTCAAGAAAAATTAGGAATTAAAGAACTTGTAAATAAATAAAATAAACATAGATCTCATGAGATTAACAAATAATATAAACCCATATATTTCTTTCTAAGAAATAAAATTTAAATATAAACTTATATTATTTTTCACAGTGAATTCATATTTGTGATTTCAATTAATAAATTTTATGAGATTAACAAATAATATGTATTCAAAATATTTTTAAAAAAACTAATAAATCATTGATTTACAAATTATAACAAAAATTTCATTTGCAATATGTAAGAAAGACTTACACTATTTTTCAAATGCAAAAAACATATTTAAAAGTCATAAATTATAGATTTGAGAAATATTGTTATTATTATAGATTTATAAGAAGATATATGGTGATTGAATTTTTTTTTAAATATGTTAGCTGGCAAGCCAATGTGTTTAACCTGTGGGCTGGCTTGTTTTAGCCCATTAATTTTGTGGGTTAGGCTAGCTCGTCTCATTTAGTTAAACAGGCTAGCCTGTTGGGTCAATTCATTTTCCTAACTCTACTGTAAAATCTTCAATTTTTAAGTTGAGAAGGTGAGAGTTGAGAGGTCAGAAGTTAAAAAAGTTTAAGCATTAAATTTTTTTCTCTACACACCATTTTTACATAGATTGAAAAAAACAGAACGAGTAGATCAAGTAATTCAGACGGGCCAAACTTATTCGAGTCGAGTTTATTTAGATCAATCTTAAAATAACTTATTAATTTTGTGCTTAAGTAGCTTTGTTATTATTTTATTGTATTATGTGTAATTTATTTATGAGTATTTTTTCTTTCTCATAAGTTAACGTCTTATTTTTTTTAAATATTGCTCTTATTATTGTCATATATAAAGATTTTATATATTTTAATTAAATTATGTTATTTTAATTATAATCAAGTTAATCTTAATTTAACCACAGTTATACTACTAACTTAAAATCTTTACCCCAATTAGTTCAAAATTTTTAATAATTTTTAAATAAACTGTACTTTTTCATTTTTAAGAATATGAAAAAAAAACCATTATTATATTATATGAAAAAAATTATTTAATTTTTATATTGTTTAACCCCTTAATATAATGGATATTTACTCTAATTTATTCTTAATTTTTAACTAAATTAGATGTGGATGATAATCAAATAATTATTCAAGAATATTGTTTTATTTATTATGTTAATATAATAGTAGAGTCAAGATTTTGTATATGCCGAAATTTTATTTTTAAAATTGTTTTTAATTTGTTTACTTGTGAATTAATTATCTTATTTTATAAAAAATAAAAAATATATTTTTCAGATACACAAATGATGCATAGGACTCAACTTTTTTTTTAAAAAAATGAGTCATAAAATATATAAAATAATATTAAAATAAATTTTAAATATTATTTTGAGATATTTTTATGTTTAAAAATAATAAAAATATGAAACTATAAATATTTTTAATTTATTTAAAAAATAATTATAGTAATGCACTCAAATATATAATTTTATAATATAAAACAACATAAAATTTAAAGAATTAATTAATATTTATTATATTTAATAAATTTTTTTATTTAGGTATTCAAGTCAAATTCGATGAGTTTTTATTTGATTTGAATTTTTTCGGATCTATTGGAGCAATCCAAATAGGTTGAACATTTAAAAATTATTATTTTTTTAAGTTTGATCTTAAATTTTTTGGATGAATTTGGATTAATCTGTCAAGTTTAATTTAAATAATTAATTTTAATAACCAGGTTCAAAAAGCTGTTCGAATCCGAACTCATTTTTTAAAGATTTATGAAGATCAAGTTTAGAAGCTTAATTATATTAAAAAATCACTTTTTAAAGCACGAATTTTTATTTGAACTGACCCAACGCTTGTTTGCTACTCTAGTCTCAGATGGCGGTCATATTACTGCCTGTGAGGAATTTAAAATCAGAGGCTCTGTGATTGTAGACTAACCGGGATACCAAATCCTAGCACGCACACTGTTCTCACAGCAAGGACCAGCCTTTTATTTTATTTTATTTTTTAATTAAAAAAAGACGTTCGTATTAAAGCTTCTAGCTGATGATGACCCTTGTTCTTCAACCTCGCTTCGCCTTCACTCACTCTCTCTCCATCGCCATGAAAATCTCTTGAAGATTATCTATATCGGAGGCTTGATAATCTTCCATATCTGTCTTAGATATCGAATATGGTTTCTCTGGAGGATTCTCACTCCAATTCCAATCGTTTCCCTTTGACCCGAAGCTATTACTCTACTACTACTTCCGTCAACAATTCTTCGTCCAGAATCCAGCGACACACTGGAAGGTCTATGCGAACTATACGCTCTAATTTCTTCCAGGATGACCATAGCTGCTCCTTCACCACGGCCACCGAGAAATCCACTTGCCTGTCGGAAAACATGACCGATTCGGTCATAGACCTGAGGCTTGGCGAGCTTGCATCGAAGAACAACAAATCTGCCAAGTCTTCTGCTACGGAGGAGGAGTTGCTTGATCTTTCTCAAGCTTTCAGTGATTTCTCGGCTTGTAGCAGCGATATTTCCGGGGAGCTGCAGAGGCTGGCGAGTTTACCGTCTCCGGAAAATGTGTTGAAGAGCGATGCCAGTCGTGAAGCAGAGAAGGAGCCGGAGCCGGAGCCGTGCCTGGGGTTTCTGCAGAGAGAGAATTTCTCTACCGAGATCATTGAGAGTATTTCGCCGGAGGATCTTCAGCCGACGGTGAAGATCTGTATCGATGGGCTACAGTCACAGTCGGTTGCTGTGAAGCGATCTGCTGCGGCTAAGCTCAGGCTGCTGGCGAAGAATCGAGCGGATAATCGAGCTCTGATCGGTGAGTCTGGTGCGGTTCCCACTTTGGTTCCCCTGCTTCGTTGCAGTGATCCGTGGACGCAGGAACACGCCGTCACGGCCTTGCTGAATCTCTCGCTGCACGAAGATAACAAGATTCTGATTACCAATGCAGGAGCTATAAAGTCACTGATTTATGTGCTCAAAACCGGAACAGAGACTTCGAAGCAGAACGCGGCATGTGCGCTTCTGAGCCTTGCGTTAGTTGAAGAAAACAAGAGCTCTATCGGGGCTAGTGGGGCAATACCACCGCTTGTTTCCTTGCTATTGAGTGGTTCGAGCAGGGGAAAGAAGGACGCTCTGACGACTCTCTACAAGCTCTGCTCTATAAGGCCAAATAAGGAGAGGGCAGTGAGCGCCGGAGCAGTGAAGCCGCTTGTGGAGATGGTGGCAGAGCAAGGAACGGGTATGTCTGAGAAGGCAATGGTGATACTTAATAGCTTGGCCGCGATTCCGGAAGGGAAGGAAGCAATTGTTGATGAAGGCGGAATAGCTGCTCTTGTTGAGGCGATTGAAGATGGCTCTGTGAAGGGGAAGGAATTTGCTGTTTTGACACTTTTACAGCTATGTGCTGACAGTGTGAGGAATAGAGGATTGCTTGTGAGGGAGGGTGGAATACCCCCTCTGGTTGCTCTTTCTCAGACCGGAAGTGTTAAAGCTAAGCACAAGGTGAGTTTCTATTAACATCAACAAATTCAAATCATAGCCTGGATAATTTGAGTGCTCAATCAGTATTTGTTTCGTTGAAATCCAATATAGCCCCAGATATGTACCGATCGTGATATTCTGGGTCCTTTGGAGTTCATTAAGCTTCCTATGATGATGAGGATTACATGGTCGGTTGTAAGAAATTATAGGCAATTAGCTTGCTAGGTAACTTCCATGCCAATGGCAAAGGCTTCGATCATTTGAGCAAATTTAGAATAGGAAGAGGTAATCCTTTCATGATAATTTGCCTTCGAGAAGACTTGATTTTACAGAATCCGGAGACAGCTTATAATTACAATATTACTATATTTTGTTTGAAAACCTGAAGTCATAGAAACTTTGTTTCACACAATACATTCTCATGCATTATCTTGCTGGCGATGGGCATAGATTGATAGGTTGTGCGATTTTTGGTTTCATCAAGATGCATTGTCTATATCCTAGAGATCAGACGTATTTTTTTTCCATCGTTGTTGAAGTTTCTGGTTGGTTTTGCAGGCAGAAACGCTCCTTGCATATTTGAGAGAATCAAGACAAGAAGCATCCACTTCAAGTCCTTAGAGAATTAGTTGCTGCCTAGGAAGGTAATTGTACTATGTAATTTGTTTTTGTATATATGGGTGGTTTTTATTATTTGTACAGTGTGGCGAAATTAGATGTGTGTTGAGCTAGCGGGCTGTAGACTGACCCTTAGATGTATGGACTTAGCTAGGTTTTGGTTGCTTTCCCCTATTCAATTCGTCATGTTCTCACGATTTACATGGTTGTCTTTGGGTTTGGGTTGATGCGATGAGATTTGGGTAACTTCCTTATATCAAGTTTGATGACCCTAGTTTTGTGTAAAAGGGTTACTGATTGTATGTCCTATTATTTGCCAAAGTGAAGGTAGTGTTTGCACTGCATGGAATATGTTTGTCAGTCCCTAATTTTTTGTTTGGCCAATATGGAGCTTTAATTTCGTAGATGGGATACTTCACAAATGTTTACTATATCCGGGCTATGAAAGAACCTACTCCGTTTCCTTTTGGATTATTCTTCACCTCTTCTGATATAACAAATTAACAGTCACCTGAAGTGTTGTGTGTTCTTGACGATATATCAGCCTTTGCAGAAGTACATATCAATTTTCGTACCGGCGTTTTCTTTATCCCTTTGCTTGTTTGCCAGGAAAAGGTCGGGAATGTAAATTTGGAATCTTTCCCTGTTGACACCGGCACGTGATTGTTAAGATTGAGAAAGTCTCAAGTGCACGCCTCTTGTAGTATTAGCGAATAAGAGTACGATCAAAACAGCTGTAGATTCTCACAATCTCCTTTGATTTTATGATTCATTATTGGGTTTTGCTACCTGAAAATCGTGTCATGGTTTTCAGGAAAAGTTGAAGAAAACTAAGAATGGCATGATCAAAGTTGAAGATAAGCAGCCAAGACCAAAGTCTTGAGCCACCTGAAGAAAATGAGTTTTCTCAAAACTCTGATTTTTCTTCTCGGCTGCCGAATGCCTGGCTTTAGGTTTTTCCAAGTTATAAAACATCTTCCCAGGCCAGAAGAAATATTCGTTAAATGTGAGTGAACTTTGAAAGTGGATTAAGACCTTTAAAAGATCCATTGAAAATAGATATAATAAATTAATACGTACTACATGCTATAATTTAAAGCTCACTCTAATTAAGTGAATGCATGAACATGGAACAAGAATAAATGATGAGGGTATGGGGTCCACACAGCTGCGTTGTCATTGTTGGGGAGGGGGGCTCACCCAATGCATGCTTGCATCGGAGCATCAATCCATCGACATCCAATTTGCAAATGGGATTTCTCTGCATCCCAAGCCAAACAAAGCCCACAGCTAGCAGGTCAGGTCAGCTCAGGTGAGCCCCACCACCACAAGATTACATCATCTTTGAGCATATTATTTTCTCCATTTGCCTGATGTCAGCTCATATCACTATCCTCGTTTTAAAAATGCTGGGGGGTGTCTGTCTACTGTCTAATGTCTACCCCCTTTCAATTCAAATCTTCTCTTCTTTGTCCTTCCTAATAATAATAACTAATTAGCTGGCGGAGCAGGTAGGCTTCGTCCTCCCCTTTCTTTGTTTAGGTTGTTGCACTTTCCAAACCATCAAGTTTGAATAAACCTGTGTCGGTGGACTTTATCTTCATCATTCATTATCAACTTGAAAGGCTCTGTGTTTTGTACATATTTTGATTGATGCTTTGCATCTAAAGATCTGGCTGTTTTTGGTTAGTGGTACTGGCAGCAGTTTCCCTTCTCTTTAAAGCCAAATAAAATTTTACCCTGCTGGGTCATCATCCTTTGTACTGGAATCAAGGTTGAATATGGGTTAAGTGTAGTCCACTTTTACTTGTTCAATATAATTTCAAACTTCGAAAAAAAAAAAAACAAAACAACTGTGGCTCGATTAATCCTAAATTCCTAATTTCTTGACAAGAAGAACCCGGTGTTATTGGACCCCTCCGTGTAATCTACCGCATTGAATGTTATTATTAAGGGGTATACTTCTTTTTCATTACATTAGGATCATTGTATTTTAAACTCCTGACTTCTACAGTTTACTCGCGCGTATCTGGCTATCTCAAATGGTTGGATAAGCTTTTCTTTCAAGTGGTTAGTGTACGAATTTGCAATTAATATTATAGTACGTGAAGTAAAAATTTTTGAAGATATACTGAATTGTAAAAAGTTTTTACATATTTATACTTTTTATTAAAACAATATATTACAGTAAACATTTAATTGCATCTAGATGTAGAAAACGAACAGGAAGAAACGCTATATCTTATAGGTTGAGAAGATTTGATGTCCCCTCTAAGGTGTGAACTAATCTGATATATAGCCATGGTCTCCTTAGCTTTGCATTTTACAGTGAATTTGGCAAGAAGACATGGGCATTTGGCCTGTAATTCTTCGACACAGGACAGATTGGAAATTCTAAGGAATTCATATTTTAATTAACAACATAAAAGATTACAAGAACAACAAACAAAACAAATTCCCATTATTATAATGAAAAAAAAAATAGTTTTCTTTGCCTTTGTTTTCTGTTGATCTGCAAATAGAAGCAGCCCATTCTGAGTGTGCTGCATGTTCCCATATTTTTACATTCTGTGAAAGCCCTTTCTCTAACCCATACGGCCCAAGTCCATCCCCATCTTCCATAGAGTCGCGATGTTAAGTACAATGGTAAGGAGTGAGGAAAAACAATTTAATTTCGCGGCCGAAAAAATGAAAAATAGATTGGTTGTCAAGAATGGGATTCGAACCCATGCCCTTTCGGACCAGTACCTGAAACTGGCGCCTTAGACCAACTCGGCCATCTTGACTTCTTATCTGATGTGGCCAATCTTTATATATATAACAAATCCACAGAAATAGATGAAGTAATTAACTAAAGTCAGATCACATTTTTGTTTTCTAAAATACATTTATTCTGTTTGATTTAAAATGTACTTGAATGCTTCAATTTTTTATCAGATGTATTTTAAAAAAAAATGAAGAAAGCTTTAAAGAGTTGCGTAGAATATAATTTAAAATGGAGTCATCATCTTAAAATTGTGTTTTTTTTTGGGGGGGGGGACCAATTGTTTTGTTTATTTAGATTGCCATTGACTTAAAAATAGTCTTAACTGGATAGGATAAACATACCTTAATGTATTAATAAATTATTTTTGTTTCAAATAAGAATGAATGTATACTTTTTGGGTTACTCACATTATTTGGATTGTTATTGAAGGAAATTCTATTTAAAGCATTATCAGTCATATCTCTCAATAAAAAATTCAAACCTTAATTTATTATAATGAAAAGGAACTAGTAACTTTTATTAGATTCAACTCTCGTTGATAAAAATAAATGCATATTTAATAGCACACAAAGCCACTTGGTCAGGATTTTGCCATGATGTACATCTTGTTCATGTATCTTCTTCTTTGCTATGCACAATCTGTTGGAGTTTGTTGTTAATGTATACTTCAACTTTACTGTGTGTTGTTTTTTCAAGTGTTTTTTTTCTTTTAAGGAAAATTTTAGTGAGTTGGGTTTCAAAACTTCATCAAGATTAAGGTATGCGTTTAGGTTCAAAGTATATTTACATAGATATCGATAACAAAATTTGATCTCACACATTTATAAATTATAAGTTAAATTCTTACTAATTGAACCCATGTTTATTAGTTCTTCTAGGGTATTATTATCATGTAAATCGGAGTTTCTATCTAGGCTCATTTACTTCATCTGTTTTAACGTTTTTTCATGTTTCACGCGTATGGCAAGTATATTACTGTAATTTGTTCTTGGTGCTTGCCCAAGCTACACTGGTGGTCTAATCCAAGAGGCCAGTTTGGATATCCGAATGATAATATTAACTATGAAAAAATTAATTAATATGATTAATTTTGAATATCGTTGATTATATTATATGTGATATAATTGATTAATAACATTGATTTTAAGCAAGATTGAAAAGCAGAATTAAAAATTAAGTAAAATTATGGCTTTGTAAAAATGTATTGAAGCACCTTATTAAGTTCCAAAATCAATTATAAATTCAAAACTATCATTCTTTAAAAAACTTTTCAACAAACATTATATATGTTAAAATTAATTATGAACTCAAAATCATGATTATTCCATAAGCTATTATTATCGGTTTTTAAATTTAGATTTTCAATTTACTTTTCTAAAAATTTATAAAAAAATCATTGAAACTATTTTATAAATTATATTTTTATATTTATAATTGACTTGGACATGTATAAATTTTTTTGGATATTTTTAAGAAAATCATAACTTTAGATTTAAAATTAATTTTGACATATATGATGAGTATTTGGATTTTTTTAAAAAAATTATGGTTTAAGTTCATAATTGATTTTGATATGTAAATAAAGGTGTTTGGATATATTTTTACAAAACTATAATTTTTATCTTTAAAATTGATTAATTTGGTTATCTAAATATGTACTTGAACTTTCTTTGTAATGGTTTTATCTTTAATGTAATTAGATAATAAATGGTGCGCAATAATATAAGATCTAATAAAACTAGAAAGTAACAAGAGGAACATGGTAAATCCTATGATCTTCTGCAGGCATTCGATAAATTTCACAGGTGAATGAAACTCAACCACAGTTAATATCAAAATCACACAAAGACTTCGGTTTATCCTCACTCATGCTCATAAATGAATTCTAGTGACAGAGACATACATTGTAAATACTCGACAGGAAAGCACCATCAACAATTGCATAATTCACACACGATAAAAGCAGTATGGAAAGATGTTATCAACAAACTTGTCCTTTTTGTTTGACCCAAAAAAAAAAAATTGTTCTTTATGAAGCCCAGATGAACATCCATTGATAATAATATCACACTGATAAATCAACAAAGTATTTCGTACAGTCTGTGAAATCAAAACACTGAACACGTGAAGAGAAAAACAGAAGAACACACAGACCAGACCAGCACTGTCAACATGACTCAAATCTACAGCCAAAGGAGTGGGAAGGAAGAAGAAACAGAGGATTGAAAAGCAAAGGAAGAAAGGGAATAAAGAAAGAGAGGTCTCTGCTAGTTCTATGTGTTGCTCTGTCAATGGAGGTGAGCATCTTTATGGCAATTCTAACAAACTCCATAACCTCTGATTATACATCTACAACTCAGAACCCCTACAAAGAAAACCTATGTTTCACTCAAGCTCAATCCTTGAAAGTGAAGCACTTTGTGAGTTCTTGGCATTCGTAATTTCTTCGAAATAGGCAAGCCAATTAGCTCTAATGAAGTTTTAGAAGAACTAAAGTATCTCAAAGAAGAAAGGGAAAATCTCAGCCATGCTTTCCATATTCAGTCACCTTCTGCACCAGACATTCTTCGTCACTGTAACATCCACACATCCATCTCACAATCTTCCTATGCAGCAATTCCTGAGGAAAAATGTGTTTGCAAGAATGTGAATAACTTTGTATTTCCATTTACACAAACTCAAAAGACATCTAGAATAAAGTGTCCAGTAGGCAACAACAGAAACAAAGCTTACACCAGTTTGAATTCAGAGTCACACTCCATTTATTTCTGTCTCTAGTCTATCTCACTGTACTCAATCATGATTATATTATTAATTTATAATGACCGTCGTCGTCGTCGATGTTTTGCAAGTTGTCATTATAATGCACAGGTTCAAGCAAACATGTGAACTGCTATTATCCTGAAATGGTTAAATATCACCTCAGGACCAGCATTCAACCAATGGCTGAATATGCCAGCTCACTAGGATCACAAAAATAGACACACAGCAGAATCTACGAGAAAAACAAAAATCAAACACCGTTGAACTTCTATTGTATACTTGCCTCTTGAAGCCAAAATCAGGTTTTCACTTCTAAGCATGAACTAATTTGGTTATGCCAAGAAAAGTAAAGAACTTAAAAAAAAAAACAAGAAATTTGAGTACTTTGATATCATGCTGAAAGAGAAACGCATGGTACCTCTATTTGATTGTCTATTGGCAACAGCATATGCCCCAATGTGGCCACCAGAGCTTTTGCTTATCAAATCTGAAACAGCATTTCCAAGATCATAACCAAGAGCATCAGTATCTTCCAGTTCTGAAGGTGACGATCTCCAGGTGTAGTCACCAAAAAATGACCCAGCTTCATAAATGTCTTTGTATGCCCCGTCATAATTGCCATTGGATAGAGCATATGATGACACTGATTCAGCAATGGCTTCACTACGTTTTCCATATCCTACTGCTTTTGGCCTAAAATTAACATCTCCAGAACCATAGTTAAGAGTGCCCTTACCATAGCCAGAGCCAATAACAGTTCCAGCTTGATCTGCACTAGGGGAGGAACTCCACAGTGTTCCAATATTACCAAAAGAACCCATGCCAGCATTTTGACTTCCATACCCATGAAAACCATCAGAATTTGCAGGATTATTAGCAAAGCTAATATTTTCATTCCCCCAAAGATTCTTATTCGCTGAATTGTTTCCTACACCTGTACCATTATACCCCATGACATTATGGTACCTGCTTGAATTTCCGTTGTATGAAGGATTCAGAGCTCGTCCTAACATAAGGGAAGAACTCAAGTTTGAATTTCCATTTTGACTAAATGCTGGTTCAAAATTCAATCCTGTCCCATAACTGGGACTTAATGGAGGATATCCGTTTCGGCCAACAGTAACAGGACTAAATCTGCCATCAGCTCTAAGCCCATGCCCTCCAACCAAGCTAGGACTATATCCCTGAATGAAACCATTAGAAAATCCACTAACTCTACTTAAACCATAGCTATATCCAGCTAATTGGCCTCTACTTGGCCCCGGGGATAATTCCTTTGGAACAGCCCGCTTAACCTCAACCATCTTACCATTAAGTTCATGAAATGTTTTATACAGAACTTTATCCACTGCTTCCTCAGAATCATAGGTGATGAATCCAAAACCTCTTGGTCTTTGAGTGTTATGATCATACATCACAACTACATCTGTAATTGTTCCAAATTGATCAAAGTACTTCTTGAAGTCACTCTCAGTAACTGTGGATGCAAGGCCTCCAACAAATATCTTCTTTGTGCGGGTTGGACCGGGTGATCCATGAATGCTGCCGTTGCTTCTGTTAGAAATGTTCTGATCATCCCGTGGGATGGCCTTTTTTGCTTCAACCTGCAAGTGGAAAATCATATGCAATAAATCATATTTTTACAATAAACTAATAAATAGCTAGACAAACAATAAGTCAAGATTTTGGCTAGAAAGAGTTAGTGTTTGCAGGACGCAGATAACGAACTTTGAGTTTCAGCAACAACTTAAAAACTAAACTTCTTACAGGTTCGGTTCAATAGAATCTTCCTCCATCACCACAGAAATGATCAACTTGAATTCCCCATCCCCATGAGTCTATCAATTTCACAATCTGTATCCTATAATCCCGAAATAAATGATGCAGAACCTCATATCCGATCAGCCTTGAACAAGAAATCATATGGCTAGTATAATTTTAATGAAGATCCAGCTGTAGCTGGGCTTCTGGAACACAAGAACATGAGTTGTTCCCAACCCATTCCCTGCGGTACAAATTTTGCAAGATGCACGATCAAACTCCAAATTCCAATACAATTATTTCTTTGCAACTGCTTTTGTAGATGGCCAAAGATTGTCCGTCTTGGATATTGTGATTTTTAAAGAAAAGCTTGGCATACACTGTTATCTGCCAATTGCTTATTAGAATATCTTCTACAATAATTCACGATATTTAAACTTGCATCAGACATGAACATGTAATGACGGATCTCATTTTCAATACTTCGTGCTCCTTTTTTGCATCATAAAATTAAACGAAGAAAACCCAAACCCAGATTTTTTATTTCGAGGCATAGTGATGCTGTACAAGAAAAGCAGCAAGCGATGAAATAGTGATGCTCTAGCAAGGACGACGTTTCGAGACACAACTATATAAACAGAATGGCAAACAAGAACTTACAGTTCTACCATCTATGACATGCTTTTCCATGACAACTTTTTCAGCAACATAAGGATCAGAAAAAACAATAAATCCAAAACCACGAGCACGCCCTGTGGTCCGATCCTTCATTATCATTGCTTCCACCACATCTCCAAAATTCTGGAAGTACTGTCTGAGTCGTTCTTCATTTGTATCCCATGAAATTCCACCAATGAAGAGCTTGCCAGTGTCCATTCCCATTCTGCACTTCCATCAATTACATTTCTGAATAAAATTCAATAATGAAAAAAAAAATCTAAAAACGACATATTTCTTTTCAAACATCAGTAAAAAGGTGTCCCGAAAATAGAAACGGCATAAACAGATTGGATCCAATCATTTACTGATAATTAGATTTTTATCGTCGCAGTTCAATGGCGTATTCGTTTCAAAACTCCCAAGACAACATGAATTCAACCAAGCAGGCAGCATCGGACAAACAACATCATAATGTGGAATGAACAGAACAAAAAGTAAAAAAAACAGGAAGCCAAATCTACGCTCTCGAAGAGCTGACAGAAAAATAGGATATTCTAGACGTCAGCTGAGAAACAATCATACTATGATTGAATCAAAGAGCATCGGACCTTTCATCAAACGATTACCGATCAACCCACAATCCAAAATTCCAAAAGCGATGTTTAAGTATCGAATTTTAATACGGAAAAAAGTTCGACGCCGAACTCTGAAAGTCATTTGGATGGGATTGAGGAGGAACAAGATTGGCAAAGAAAAACTCACCAAATGAAGACAACCCAGATGAAAAATTGATACAATCTAAGATCTGAGAGGACGCATAATAGGCAGAGAGGGCGAGAGGCCCTCTTTTTTTCCTTTTCTTTTCCTCCTTTCTTTTTGGCTTACAATTACGGTTGATTCAAGCAGATAAAATATATATAATGAATGAAAGCTGTGTATCACAGAAGAGATATGTATGAGAAAAGGAATTTGTACATGATATTATAATATATACATATATATATATATATAGAGGGTGAGAGATTTGTTTGTGTATCCTGGTAAGAAAGTAACGAGCAAGAGATGATGGTGACTGCAAGTTTAAACTTCGCTAGAGGCCGATGCACCTATAACATTTAACTACAAGATATATTGATCATTTCAAAATTTACCTTTTCTAGCCCATTTTTTCATCACTGGCAAGAAAATTATTGATCTGTCTAATATTGTGTTGTAAAATTATTTTTACCAATAGTCATTTGCCCATTTTGAAAAATACAAGCTCGTATATTCTCACCAACCAAACAAATATAGAAAGCACTTGTGTTCTATTATATGTTTTGTTGTGAGATTCTTGTGTCCCATCAATGTGAATGACCAAGCTATCATCCTACTATTATATGCAGCTAATAATTTAGGGTAATGACTAAGAAATGGAATTATTGATTTGGTCAAAAACTTAATAATTTAGTATAACCCGTTTTTGTTAAAAAAAGGATAATTAGTTTTTAATGGGTTTAACGTCTAACATATTTTTTTGGCACGCGACCTTGAGCAAGGCCAAAGTTAAGTTACTTCTTCTTCTTTTTTTTTCAAGCTTCTCTCTCTCTCTCTCTCTCTCTCTCTCTCTCTCTCGCTAGAGGTGTACATAGTTTATTGGTTTGATTATAATCCTGTAGAGTTAAAAAAAAACATATATTGAACCATCACTGCTTAAATTTTACTAAAAATGTATTTATCACCTTAACAAATCACACAATATGTTTTTCAAGATTGTTTAATTAAAAAATACATGAAGATGCATTTCTGTTGTTTCAAAAATCTTTATTTATAATATGTATCTTATTCATCATCAACGTATCAATAATTCAATATCATTATAAAATATTAAATCAACAAGTCTTAATTTTTATAATTTATATATAGTTCAATTCTTTTATATCACCCTATAATAGTATGAAAACAAAAGATATCTTGTTATTGTTAATAATATATAAACAAATTAAACTTTTCACACTGCTATTTATTTTGTATACATGACATAAATCAACAAAGTTTTAATATGACTCAAGTCCTTATTAAATATAAGGTTACATGGCAAATTTATCCCTAAATTATAGGATCATGAGTATCTAAGATCCTAAACTCATTTTTGATATAATGTTCTTTTTTAATATCTCAAAATGGTATAATATTGTTTTTATCATTAAGGGTGAAAATAGTTGGGGGCTTACAGCCTAGCCTATTTTAGGCTTAACCTAATCTATTTATTAAATAAGATTAGGTCAGGTTTATATTTTTAATTAGGCCTATTTAACTAAATGTGTTATACTTATTTTTTCAAGGCCTAATCTATTAACCCAACAGGTCAGTCTATTTACACACACACACACATAATATAATATATTAGAAACACATAACTTTCACCATTTGATTTTTAATCACTTTATTCTTTTTTATTTTTAATTATGTTTTTAATCATATTGGACTTATATATTAATTTTAATGTTATGACTTTATTATTATGTTATACTCATATTGTAGTTAATAAGTTCTTTCAATTGTTATATACTATAATTAATAAATTAAATTATATATTGTATACTATAATAATCCTAACGTATATTAAGATGTTTATAATTAAAATACAAGCATATTTAAAAGGCTTAATTTTAAGTAATCTTTTAAATAGGTTTTGAGGTTAGGCTAAACTTTAAATAAATTCAGGCCTGAACTGTAAAAAAAGTTTTATATCAATTTCATGTCAGATTTAGACTTTTGATTTACCATATAGGCCGAAGCCTATTTAGCCAAGGCTAGTTTGACCTAATTTATTTTCACCTTACATATCATTAACAAATTTAATTTTGACCATTAGTTAACCAAAAAATTTAGATAAAAGGACCAAGAAAATGTTCTTGATGCTTTTTTATAATTATAGGTCCTTGTTAATCAGTTTTGTAATTTTTAAGGTCATTTTCAATAACATTCTTATCAACTAATTGTTAAAGTTAATTTTTATTAATGATAAAGATGATATTGTACTATTTTAAAAAGTTGAAGAAGAATGTTATATCAAATATGAATTTAAAATTACAAACAACATAATCCTAAATATATAGTTTAAAGATGAACTTATCCTTTAAAACTTAAACATGCAAAGATCCATTTACTATATGATTTAGCGCAGGATTTTTTCAGCAAATAAATTATATATGTACATAAAATAAGAGCTGCAAGCTTGCTTTTTGTAGAGCCACCTAATTACCTCTTATAGACCTACATTGTTGTCTCATAATGGGCCATGCCATATCTTTTTTTATATAACAATTTTTGACAAATTTAATTTAAGATCATATATTTGAATCACTCTCTAGTTGACCCAGGTGATTGGTTCAAGTTGAGTCATATTATCTCTTTTTGATATAGTAATTTTTAGCAAATTCAATTTAAGATTATTATTTCAAAATAAAGGAGTTCAACATTTAATTTATATACAATATTTCGTGTATAGAAAATAAAAATTAAATTATTTTATTTTCGATTTTATTTAAAGATAAAATGAGTTAAACTATTAATCTTGTGTGAATTCTTTTAATGAGAATAATTTTGAAGAATGATATTAAAATTAAAGGACCAAAAGATTTGAAAATCTAAAAGAAGGACCAAAAGTCCTTTGGTGAGTTAATATAAAAATTTGATGCTCTTGTTCCATGATTTACAATCCTCAAACAAAAATTTACAAGTGGAATTTGTACATCTGTAAAGGAAAAACTTGTTAAATATATCATTATTTGAAAATTATTTTTTTAAAATAAATGAGAAATCTTACTTGTAAATTCATATTTTGAAAGTTGTAAATAAGAGTACATGAGTAACAAATCACTGAAGATGGTTATATATATGTTTGACAAGTTTTTCTTTTACAAATTAAAAATTTTTGCCTGTAAATTCTTGTTTTAACGGTTGTAAATCATGAAATGAGAGTAACAAACTTTTACATCAATTTACTTAATGATCTCGGATCCTTATTTTAGATTTCCAAGTTTTTTATTCTTATTTAAGTTTAATTCAATGTTTTGTGTCTTTTATTATTATTCCCTCTAATTTTCAATTCCACTAAATTGTAAGAAAAAAAATACTAACAAACAATTTAATTAGATCATAAAAATGTTAATCTAAATTTATTTTTAGTTGACAATTAGATTTAAAAAATGATCATAGTGTTTTTCATTTAGTTTAATGTTGTTTAAAAATGCGACCTAAATATAATTAGTTGAAACTAAAGCTAATTATGAATTCCATGGTAGATTCCACTGAATTTTTACGAAGTCATATTTGAAATGATCGGCAGTCACATCTCATGGAAATGAAAACTAAAATTCAACCTTAATTATTTCTACGAAATGGCATGAATATTAAGGGTTTAAGACAGATAAGTGGTTACAGACCAAAATGCCTCACATTGACTTTACTTTCAAAAACAAAACAAGACAAAAAAAAAAAAAGCCTCTCTAACTACTTTGAATATATATAAAAATAAATCACACACAATATAAAATGAATAAATAATAAAAAAAGTAGGTAAGGTGTGAAAGACAGCTTGGACGCCCGCTCACCCAAAGGATACTTCCCAAACATGCCTTCATTTTTGCATTATGCACGTGCAATTATGTGCTTCCTTTTACAATTTCAAATTTCAAACTTACTTTATATTCCATTACTATCATCATCATATAAATTTTTAAATCATTTTTTATATTTAATTTACTTATCTAAGTAAGAATGCATAAAATTATTAACTTTCCATTATATAGAAATTATTGAACTAGCAATTTACCTCCTCAACATTTTCATTAAAAAAAAAAAAAAACTCTAGCACTTCAGCAATTTTCAGCCCTGGAATGGTAGGTAAAGAGTTACATGTGGAAGAGTATATAGGGATCTCTGACTTTTCTTGAATTATAAATAGGCATCTAAATGTAACGAGTTAAGGAATTTGCCAATAAAATTTATTGTCCATGTAGTTTTATGTTTATTTGTAATTATTTGTCATTTTCTGTAAATATTTTGCTTGAAAATCATACTGCATATTTCATGGCTTGTGATTTTTTTTGGTTAAAAATTAAAGTTCACGATAAAAATGTTGAAAATAACGACCCTTGTAAAATTTATATTTCCATGGTTAAGTTATAAATGTTAAACATATTTATATATGATCTAAAATGTACATTGTCACACACACACTGTCTGAAAGAATTAACAACAACAAACAAACAAACAAATTACTAACAAGATAAAAGTTGAAAATGGGTTATGATTATGCTTATAGAGAAAATGACAACATCATCACTTAAGGCAATCTCGGGTGATATGAATAAGGTATGGTGTTGATAGAGATTTAAAGATCAAAGATCAAACTTTTTCGTGCGATTAAAGAATAAGAAATGGCAACATTATTGTTGGACTTTAAAGTCCTGATTTTTGGGATTAATTTTTTTCAAAAAGCAAAAAAAAAAAAAAACAGAGAGAGAGAGAGAGGCTGGGATGATTACTGAAAGAAACTAGGGAATGGTGAAGGATGAAAATGGGCCACAAAAGATGAAGGAAAATGGAAGAACAAGCAGATGCAGGATCCTGGGAGCCAATGAATTTAGAGATGTTGGCAAAACTTTCAAATATAGTACAAATTGGTTTGTTCTTCTTTTTTGTTTTATATGCTCAATGCTTTGTACCAGTACTTCACAAACCTATGAAACAAAATATGATAAGAGACATTTGAGATCTTTTAATGCCTTATTGGATTGTCAAATTCAATCACATGTATGGACTATAGAAATGTAAATCCATGTGTTGACCAGTCAACTTATGAAGAACATCAATTCAATGATAAAATTCTATTACATTGGTCACTACTCTCTTGAAATTGCAGGGGTTTGCATT